GGATTTTAATAATGTGATAGATATTTTATGCCAAGAAGTTTCTTGTTACAGCATGTTTATGGCTGGAATAAATTAATAAGCACATCAATAGCGTTGGTTTGACTTTATCTATAATATGTCATTTGGTAATCAGTGAGTGTGTGGGGACGTTACAGTGTGTACTTTGGGACAGCTGCCTGTTAGTCATGAAGCAGGGTGGATAAAGAAAGAAGTGTAATAACTTAGGAAGGAAATTGAATCCTTTGTTGTGACATTTCAGAGAAAAACTGTTGTAAGGTAGATGAAAAAATACTCTTTTTGTTGTTTCCTTATGGCTGATAAGTTATTGTATTTTGAATACTCATGCAGTAACAAATGAGAGAAAAACGAATACATATATTTACATAATAGGAATCTAATAATATAATAGTAGAGTAAGAGACATCTGGCTTGTCTATTCACATATATGCCTAGTTGTTGTGTTCTGGGATTGTGTTGTGTTGTGATAGGCACTGTTTAAGCTGAATGCCTTTTTTGACTTGTGGTATAAAGAGTGCATTATTGAATTTATAAATGTGTTCTATAACCAATATATTATCTTCAGCAGATGACACTTTATTTTGCACTCTAAGACACATTTGGCACTGCAGACATGTCTAGCTGAAATGCACAAAGAACCAGGTGCTCAACCTCCACTGATTTTTGACTTTTACAGTTTTGATTCATGTCAGGCTGTGATTGGCTACTGTAGTTGCATCACACAATGAGACATACTTGTAACCATACAGAGGTAGAACATCATGCATGATGTTTGTCAAAATACAAATAATCACCAGTGAAGATTTTTATGAGGCCGTAATTCATACTGGTTCTCTCACACATACATACATTTTCACTCTCACACACACATATATATATATATATATATATATGTACACTCACACATTAATACATTTTGCTCTCATATTATCATATTTCTTTGCTCTCATATTCATATATTTTAACGCTCATATTTATACATTTTGCTCTCATGCACATTCATTCAATGTTGACATTTAATATTATAAATAATATATGCATGTCTGAAGACAATATATGTATGCAAGAGAAGAATGCATGTATGTGTGAGAGAAAGTAGTTGAAACGGAAGGGAGGTCATTATCGCGCTGTGATTGGCTCAGAAGGTCGAGCTCATGTTCAGAACTTCGGATTCAAATCAACATGATAGAGGGAGATGAATCCGTGTATCTTCGGACCATTTGTTTTTCTTTATTAAAAAAGTAAACGAAAGAGCGTCTGAGAGGCGTTTTTGCTTTTTGTTTTTTACCTTACTAAATTGTCTAGTAAGATTTTTATTTATTTTTTTGAGTTAAATGCATCAATCTGGTGCACTTTGAGGGGAAAATAAAGAGACTAGATCTATGGAAACACCCATATGAAACAAAACTGTATACATTTCAATAATCATAAAATCATGGCCATAACCAATAACATACCATTTCCAACATAAAAAAACACAGCATTTTTTATTTTTACCTTTTTTCACCTAGTTCAATTTTTTTTTATTCATGCATATTTTACAAATCACTACCCCCTCAAATGGAAATATGTGTTTACATAAATGGTGGTCCAAACCGTTTGAGACCCACAGAGAACTTAGACTAAGTTAACTATCTAAACACTCAGAGTCCTTATCCTCACCTGGGGCCTCATTTGTAACGCCGTGCGTAGGATTCACGTGGGAAGGTTGCTTACGTAGTAGAAATCCAAAAAATAGGTACAGAAATGTTCCGACATTTTCCAATTCACCAAACATTGCGTACCGGCGAGGAAAGTGCGTACAGCACTTCCTACGCCGGTTTCCCTTTTATAATTCACAATCGACTCAAAATGCGGTGCAGCTTTTGCGGGCTTCACGTAACGCCCATATTTGCCTATAAATAGTCAAAGAAACGCCCATTCATTCATTCATTCATTTTGACTGACTTTATGAAGAAGATCGCAGGAAATGACGACAGAACAGCTAAAAAAGACATCTCACACCGTGTCAGATTTTGGTTATTTTGGAGAGGTCGAGATAAATCATATTGTTTGGTGGATGCCGTTTGAACCAGAGTAGCAGCATGGAGGTCGGATCGTCACCAAAATAAATAAATAAGTGGTCCGAAAAAGGTTCATGACAAAAAAAATACACATAGCCTTCCTCAGGCAGTGTGTTTGTACCCGGGACGGGAGACCCCCCCTTGATGAGAAACTGTAAGAAATGATCGGGGAATCCCTCCGGAGTGGAGTCATGACGACTGGATCTGAATTATGTTTTCGTATTTGGTGGTTTGTGTCCCAGCTGTCGATCAGCTGTGCGCAGCGTCTCCACTGCAGCAACTCCATATCCACCAGTTAAAGGAAATACAACTAATGTGTTGTGTTATATTAGCTGTACAATTTACCACATGTGGTGTTCTTAGTTTCCATACCTCCTGTGTTTTACGAGCGACTTATCAAGTCTTAGCAAACGGCATAAAACATGATTAAACATGGTAGTATATAAAACCATGCTCGTACAACCTATAGAAATGCAAAACCGCATCATTTATGAGAAAACATTTAATAACATTAACAGAACATATTCCAGGTGGTTTTAAATAACATATCCGTATTTATTTATTTCTCCAAGTTATGTTTTTGTGTGCACTGAGGAGTCTCAAACAGGCGTTTGTTTAATCATTTTAAGATTGGCTTTAATCAATGTTTGAAAATGAATTCTTCATATATGATAAATGAGAGGTAACATTTTATTTATGGTATTATTTCCACACATTTCTCTCCATTCTTCCTTCTGCCAACGGTGTCGCAGTTTCTCGTCTCTCCCGTTGTTGTGCTTAGTGCGTACGCATGGGTTAGAGTTTGCGTGGAGGACCGCATGTTTTCCCGTCAAGTTAGTATTTTATAAATCGCAAACATTGCGTAGAAACTGGCGTACGCCATTTTTTGAGCGTATATCCCTTTATAAATGAGGCCCTTGAGCTGAGGTTATCCCGAGCTTGAATGACACACAGAGACCAATCAAGGGCTTTGATTTATGATCTGTATGACAGTGGCCATGTCGGCAGGCCACATCATGTAGACAGCCAGTCACCCTGTGTGAGGCAGACCCACATTTGCGCAGCGTTGCGTTCACAATACATACAACAATAAATAAACAAAATCCTCAGGCCAGCAGGCCATCGGGAAACCCCCCGGTCCTCCTGATGGCCAGTCCGGGCCTGGGTACAGGAGGCATAGAGTGAGGGATCATTGTCCACAAGTTAATCGATCGTGGTCGCGGACAGATAAAAAAAACTAAAAACTAAAAAAACTAAATGGGTCGTAAAATATACTTGGACGGCCGTTAATATACCTGGGCGGTCCGCCCAAGTATAAGTCAATATGTGGGAAACCCTGGTATGTGTGTGAGAGGACCAGTATGAATTACGGCCTGTACGGCCCCTAATATATTTTAGTTCACCTGCATTTGGCAATTTAGCTGCAAATGTCTGCATGTGTCGTAAACAGACCAGCATTCTCTCTTCATCAGTGTCAGTCTTTTAGATAACTTAACTGTGTCTGTAATCAGTTTTACAAAGTAACCTGCTACATTTGAAAGAGTAAATGATCCCATGGGTATCTGAATGTTGATAACAAACAACACAATTACACTGTTGTAAGATATATTCAAATATTTTGTCTGAAGCACAGTGTTCTAGAGATATATTATCATTGTTTCATGAAGATGGAGATATAAGCCCATATAGGGAATTAACAGTTCCTTTAGAAGTACCTTTTGTGTTTAGTAAACCACTTTTGAATTGTTTTCCATTAGGCCCAGGTTCATTATCAACCTTGTATATGTACATAGGAACATCTTGTGGGAACAATGTTTGCACTATAGGGAACTCTTGGTCTTGTTAATGGTCTTCATTATGTTGGCTGTAATATGGTCATGGAGAGTGATCACAGCACCTAACGACTCTCACGAGATGACTGCATTTACACATCCCTGTTTATGTTTAACACCTACTGGCTCAGGTATGGCTTTAAAGGAACAATGGCAACAGCTCTGTAATGCACATAATAGGCATCTTGGGAATTTGAAAATATTCAAATAAAAACACATCTTCAGATTTAGACCATATTGTTGCTGGCGGGGTTTTATTGACAGCAAATGCAAATTAGCATGTACTTATTAATCCTGCATACTTGGCACCGACTGTGATTATTAGAGCTTATTAAATGGATGGTGTATACTGTATGCAGTATGTCAGAACGGTGAGGAAATCATTATTTCTCCTCAGCAGATGCTGTTTTACTATATTCCATAAACTCCCTGCATCCAACATATTTTGCCATCATAACTTCAAAGCTGGTTTTCATCACCAAGTTTGGCATGTTTTCAATGTGACTGTCTAATTAGCACACTCACTTCTTGCCAGCGATGCCTTGCTGCATATCAGGCCTGGTCCCATGAGGGAGCACAAGCATTGTTCAGGTCTACATTTACTTCACCTAAACAAGCTTGTGTCTGTGTGCATCATGGTGTAAGGTGAATTTGTTGTTATGTTTTGCTCATTGTTGCATTCACAGGCACCGAGAGGATATTTGAAACAAGCAGTGTGTGTACACAGAGTTAACGTCTGCAGAGTGTGGATGATGTGATGATAGGTAGGTAGGGCTGCTCGATTATGGCAAAAATCATAATCTCGATTATTTGGGTCAATAATTGATATCACGATTATTAAAAACGATTATCCATTTACTTTGAAAACATCAATTTATTGGAGAAAAAAAATGTGAACAGTATGTTTTTAACAGTTGATTTCCCTGAACTTTAAGTATAATTCAACTGAAAAAATAAATAATAATATGAAAATAAATAAATAATAATAATAAAAAGATTATCGTTTTATTTCAATTATAATTATTTATATTAATTGAGCAGCCCTAATAAGAAGTCAGTTAAACAAAGTAAAATAGATTATGCTTACCATAGATGCCTGTGGATATACATGGGAAGGCCTGTGCAGAAAAAGACAGAAATAGAAGTAAAAACATATTCCGTTGAATAAGTACGACATAACAGCACTACAGAGTGTAACCATTGAAGCACACCTATTGTTTGCTTTAAATATGTGTTTACTTCCCTGCTTCTCTTGTTCATTCCCAAGGGGAGCAATTCACAGTGCCATTTGTTCATATCCCTTCAATGCTAATGTACCACTGTTTTATAAAACAATGCTCTAGCTCCTAACACACAGTGTACTTCTCTTGACTTCCAAAAATGTCTCATCCAATTCATCCTGAGACTCGAACACCCCTCTGCACATTAGATTGATTATCACGATCACACTGCTGCATAAAAGAGGCTGTTGGACTGTTATGAAACCCTATCATTCACTGTTGCAGCAATGAGCGAGACGGCCAATTAGTACTTAATGCCCATACTTGATGTCCATAACACTGGTAGTTTGCATATGTTGCTTGAGGGAATGTTGGATCAGACTCATGTGAATTGGTAGCGCTCGCTGTTTAATAACCTCCAGCATATGAATATACATTGAGGTAGATTGATCCTGTCTGTCGCCGTCAGCCCTAACTTACACACAGACTTTCTCTTCCAATGATCCAAACCAAGGACTGAGGCGGCTTCACAAAAAAAAATGTCCTTCAGCCTTTTAAAATATGTCTTTAATTTAACTCATTTGGATAGCTAGTCAGCTTTCATTCTGTGTAAACTCAGCAGGATATGAAAACAACTAGGCCATAACAGCAGGAGGCAGCTTTTTCAAATGATGAGAAAACTAGAGAAAACAAAGTCATTGTTGCCACATTTGGATCAATAGCAGGAATCAATAATATCCCAACAACCACTAGGGACATATACAGAAAACAAAACAACATTCAGAGAATCATAATGCTTATTATAAATATATATATTTTCAGAAACTGAAGAGCAAAAAACTACGTATATTTATGGCTGTCTTTTCCAGGATGATTATAAAAAGTAACCACCTTGTAATAGTTCTTGCTTTGTAGCACTTTGCAGCAGACATATTATTCAGGCATGACTTTATAGCTGAAAATAGTTTCATTATTCTTTCCTTCTGTGAGCAAATACATTATGATACATAGGCCTTGCTGTAAGATTACCTATTTCACATTCATCTTTTTTAGTATATTAATAAACAGTAAAGAGGAAAGATTTTTTCCAAAGGTCCCAGTTGTCCTCAAAAGCCGCTGAATACGTGCTTTAGTTCCTGCATTCATCAAAAGGGGTGGCTACAGCATTAATATATTAAAATGACAAATGAAAAAAAAGGGAAAACATTTCCACCAGCAGCAAACAACTGGATGAATATAGAACAACAAAACACTACCGAGATTCATCAGAGACTAACATGCTGCATATGTCTAATTCTCCCCGTGCCAAAACGAAGCCCAACAGTTTGTTTTGCCCCGCTGACCCTGTCAAGTTGTATTTAGAAACATTCTGTTGCTAGCAGCCCTGCCAAGATCACCTTGTTTTAGAACTAAAAACTAAATTAATAGATCTGAAAGAGAAAGATAAAACATGTCTGCTAGTATGATGATTGTACAAACAAGGGCTTTGTGAGTCTTTCAACTGAGAGAAGAAAGAAACATAATTCACACATTGTGAAAGTTAATAATTGACTATAAAGGCTAATAAAATATTTAGACTTTTTCCTCTGAAGCAACACAATCTCAGACACCCGCCTTGAAATGAAATGGTCTGTTTGTCCTTGCTTTATGCAAGAGGAATGAGTCTGTTTGTATTCTTATTTACCGGTTTTCAGGTTCCGCCTGTCAAGGTGAATCTTTCTTCTCTGGGATGATTTAAATCTTTTACCGGTTGACTGGAAAGACAGTCTGGGTCTGACACAAACCACAGATGATGAAGCGTGGAAAAGCATGGCCATTTTTAGTCCTATGCCAAGCCCTGCCCATGGCACACACACAGTCATATTGAGACTGATTACACTAAATGATCTTATACCAAAACCAATGTTAACAGAAAGAAATAACAACTATATGCAAGTTGGACTTCCGATTTAAACAATTCTGTATTTGAAAACCCGAAAGGATGTCTAAATTAATTACTGCACAACAGAAATGCAGAGCTTCAAAAAGTGTACTGATTGTCCATGGACTCATTGGCAGCATATTTGAAACAAGCGACTTTGATTATACTCAGAAAAGTTATTTATACATGTAATGTATTAGTATTATTATATTGAGAATCCTAACACCTTAACTAAATTATGCACATTCTACAATTGGCTACATTACATGAACTAAGATTAACTTCAGAAGAAAGATTTTATTTGAGGCTTTGTGATAATAAATATGAAGTCAAATTAATTGAATCTGCAGACAAGAGTATTATTTCCTGTCAGCGCCTCCAGCCAGTCTCGGCTGCCAAACTGATCCTGAGCCAGAAGCCTCGTTATCTTCTCTGAGCTGAAAGGCCGCCATGTCAGTCTCTTCAACTTGAACCTCTGCTCGGATGGCAGCTACAACTTAAAACATTACAGGCTGTGGCAATGACACACCTTCAGGATAATCAATCAAACCCTGTTTTATTAGTTTCCTGACTGATCCATTAAAGAGTATTGATCTTTGGGTGTGAAATGCATCAGGTAATCACTTAACGGGATGCTGTTAAGATCTGACACCTTTGTGGCAAACGCAGATGTCATTTACTTGTTTAAAGGACTGTTATTGCAAAAAGCGAAGATAAGTATATATTCAATAAAACCTGTAAAGCCCAGAGAGCATTTTGGCAGACGCAACTCCTTTTCATCTATAAATCAGAGACACAATGCACTGCAATAAATACCACTAAGTTATGCAGAAATAATGATAATCAATTTCAGTAAATACCCACATGCTATATATACAAATATAAGCTTCAAGTTTTGTTAAATTAAAGGGGACCTATCATGCAAAATGCACTCTTGTACGTATTTTATACATGAATATGTGTCCCCGGTGTGTCAGGGAACTCACCAAGTGTCAGAAAACACAACCCTCTCTCTTTTCCTCCATACCCAAATCTCTAAAAACGGGGCTGCAACGGATCTGATACAGACTGATACAGATTTGAATTATTTTCTACGTCACAAAAGGGGTGCTCCGCTTAGTGGTCAACTCTCCACCTATCAGGGGAATGTGGGGTTGGGCCACGGCCGGCCGCTCGAAAGCGCTGGAGACGCTGTAGTACATATGCCAGGCCTGTAAGTGGCGCTGTAGTCTGCCACAAAAGCATGGTTGCCCTTCTGTTTATTCTCCGCTGTGGCTCTTTTTCTCCCTCACCGAGGCAAGCGTTTGCGCCTCCTGCTTTAAAACAAATGAATAATGCCTCTATATAATCATAATAAGGGATAATGTGTAGTGACGCGGTCACCTTCATGCCGATCTAGATCCCTCCGCTTCGCGTCGGGCTCCTGATCAGCCTGTCGGTGTTCTTTTCCCCATAATGACCAAGTCGCTGCACACTATCCCGCTTATTACATTACATTCTCAACAAAGTAACGACATGACTCCCAATATTAATTGAAATGCTTTTATGGATTTAGAAAATGATTTTATTGATTTAAAAAATAGTTGTATTGATTTAAATTGACATGCATCCACTAAGAAAAATAGTCCGTTGTTACTGTTTGAACTAACGTAGCAACGGCAGGAACTGCTTCAATAGCGTTTTTGAGGAGCTTTTTGATTACAGATTTGAAAACATCGTTGCTTGCTTTAAAAGTAGCACAATTCATTATGTCAAACCTTGGAAAGTATCTAGATATCCCTGAGCTAATGCCAAAGTACCTGGCAACTGAATATGTGTCGCCGTTTGATGTCTATGTCTGGACCGCTGCGTAAAAAGGAGGGTTTCTGCCCCGTTACTTCTCTTCTTACTTCTATAAGAATAAAACACGGAGGACGGAGATCTCTATTTCTCCCCCTCTTCTGACAGCCCAGCAGCTGATCTCAAAGCATGCTCCCCTCTCCTGCAGGGGGGCGTGGTCAGCTGCAGCTCACAGAATCAGCCCCCTGCAAAAACAGCGCTGGAAAGAGCAAATAGAGCGAAATGAGGCATGGCTCAAATGCAGGATCTGTTTGGTATTTTGAAAAAAAAACTATATTTATATACTTTATATAGGTATGGCCCTACAATATATTGTTCAAATATAGCATGATATGTCCCCTTTAATTAAAAGCTTCAGCTGTTAAATAAAATGTATATTATGTAAAGGTGAGCAGGGGAACACCAGTAGCTGTTTACTGCAACAGCACCTGCTTTAGTAATGCAATCATTTACAGAAAGGGTAGGAGAAGTGACGTGACGGTCAGGACTAATAGAAATGATAAATAAAACAGAGCCTTTACAGGGACAGAAAACAAATAATCCAAAGTAATTTAAGCAGTTGACTGCATCAAAGCCAGGAATCCTAAAACTAAATGCAAAACTAAAGCAGATTTCAGAAGCAGACGCAGCAAGCCTGTTCTCTTTTCCTTTCCCATCAACCCTAGGCCACCTCAGAAGCTATTTTGATAGTTGTTAGCGTGCAAACCTGTACATCTGCTTACAGTGTATAAGGTCCAGAGCTAATTAGGACAGTCAGTGGTCTATATGACCTATGATTCGTGGTTTAGGTTATTATTTCTAACTCTGGCTGCTCATTAGAAGTGAGTCAGCATGTTTGCTCGCACTCTGGCGTGAGGCTGTGCCTGACATGTTGGCTTGTTGCTGATTTCTTTTCTTAGGGAGTGTTCAGTTGGGTCACCAGGGAAATTATTCTGTTGCTAGGGCTCCTCCCTAATCTATCACATCACTTTAAAGTGGAGCACCTTTCCTCTCGGCGTCTCTGCACACATATTCAGCTCACAGTACATCAAGCACGACACAGAGAGGCTTCTGTGATTATAGTTTGAAAACATTACAAGTTACAGTCATGCCTTCTTTTAATGAAGATGGTGTTAATTATAATTTACATGCTTTTACT